ATGACCTGTGACCTTTTAGGTAATCACATGGTTACATGTTTATATGACCTGTGACCTTTTAGGTAATCACATGGTTACTTGTTTATATGACCTGTGACCTTTTAGGTAATCACATGGTTACATGTTTATATGACCTGTGACCTTTTAGGTAATCACATGGTTACGTGTTTATATGACCTGTGACCTTTTAGGTTATCACATGGTTACAGGTTGATATGACCTGTGACCTTTTAGGTTATCACATGGTTACAGGTTTATATGACCTGTGACCTTTTAGGTGATCACATGGTTACGTGTTTATATGACCTGTGACCTTTAAGGTAACCACATGGTTGCCTGTTTATATGACCCATGACCTTTAAGGTAATCATGTGGTTACCTGTATATATGAACTTTTCTTACAGCAGCTTAGACAGATTAAAAGTAAATCACCCTTCTGCAATGACAAAACAGTAACCATGATAGGTACCCCGTAACAATAACTCTGGTAACATCCTTTGGAATAACCAAACAAAATGGGATGCACAACGGCACATGAGCACATGATACTAAATACCATGCTAAGTTTGAAAGAGATCATATGGAAAATGAGAGATATGCAGTCCAATAAAAATCTCATCTAGAAATATGGCATGTGCAGATGCATGGCCGGCATTGTCAGACAGGCTGAGATACCTCCACCTAACATTCTGCAGAGATTATAAAAAATCTGCTTCTAACATTCAAAAATATGTTCCTGCCACCAAATTATCATTTTGATTGGTTGTGGGGCAATGGAAATAGAAATCTGCATTGTAAAAGATTGCTGTAATGTTTTGTCCAGTTTTATCTGCTGGTCGCTGATAACAAGAATTCAACATTAACCATGTAAGATACCAAGGAGTCAACATTCTAAATAACAGCAGTAATAACCAGGCTTCCTATAGCTAGATGACGTAGTATTAACAATTAAGAGCCAGAGTCTCCAGACGCTACAATATGTTACTACACACATATAAATGTTGCATATTATTATTATTATTATTACTACATACAATCATATCCACAAAACTGATGTTGAAATCTCAGGGAAACCAGTAACTACCAATGGATACTGTAGCAGCTGAATTGGAGAGTTATAATTGCAAAGAAATTAACCCTTCCCTAACCTATAGGTTTGGTCTTTATGTATTTTCATGAGACCATGGAAACCATCACTATGATACAGACCAGACCACAAGATCAAAGGTAGCTATATATATACATTGAACACTTAATGGCTAAAGTGCAGTCTTGCACTACCATTGTGATTAAAATTTCATCAGAACATCTAAAACTGTTCAAAACTTATGGAGCCAATGCAAAGCATATATTCCTGCTTCCAGAGTGACTCGATCACATGATCAAACAAGTAAAGAAAATCTGTACAATTAGTTTTTTTGTTTGTTTGTGGTTTATGTCCCATTAACAGCTATGTTCATTTAAGGACGTGCCAGGTTTCGGCGGAGGAGGAAAGCCAGAGTTCCCGGAGAAAAAACACCGACCTACGGTCAGTACCTGACGACTGCTCCACATAGGTCTCGAACCCGTGACCCAGTGATGGAGGGCTAGAGGTACATGAAGCAGACTGTCGGACGCCTTAACCCATTCACCACTGTAGACCATAATGGACTCATCCAGATCAATGCATGGTAGAGTCTACTAAAGTTACATAGGGGTGAAAGGGTTAACCACTTGGACATACGATTAGAATAACCAAATTGTTTTGAAAGTGCTAGTAGGGTAGGAGTAATTTTATTGCTCATTTTGATTTCATAATGAAGAAGGTTATTAGTGCTAGCTTCTCATTGGGAAATCACTCTATATATTAATAAGTTTTCTAAATCTATGATCGATTTGATGGATAAGAACATCAGAAACCATCAAAACAATTTAAAATGGAAAATGTAGTTAAGCATGTAAATTTGCTCATTTGGATTGCAAAATTATTAAAAGCTGGCTGTGCAAGCTTAAAGCTCTGTGGTCAAATTGATAAATGAGAAAAACATGATAAGTATAGAACATAAACAATCAAACTGTTCTAAACTGGTCTCGTAGATAAATGCTTGTGAATTTTTTTTAAACTAGATAAAGTCTGTAAGACATAAATGCCCCCACTCATGGATGGGATGGGATGCAACGCGACGCAACATGACAGGACGGGACAGGAAGGGATGGGAAGGGATGGGACGGACATGGGCAACACTATATTCCCCCCCCCCCCATTTTATGGCGGGGCCATAAAAATATTCAATGATACTTATCTATTGTGATTGACATCACTGATGTTTGATGTCCTTTAGAACTGAATGAACACTGATCACCTTATTAAAGTTACAGGTACTTTGTCTGTAATAAAAGTTAGTCCGTACAAGTACTTTAGTACTTTTAGACCCTGCCCTACTTACAGCACTTAAAGGGGGCCACACCCTTTTTCCCTTATACAGCGTTGTATCACCGTGGTCTAGGGATCATTTTACCTATTTAGTACAAGATTGAAAGACAGCTAGACCACTACACCCAGATAAAGCTAATATCTTTACTTGCCCTTAATGCAGGTGAGCTTATAAATTATTCCCCTTTCGTACTTGGATATCTATAGGAATGTTGATAGACCAATATAACTTTACACGACTCCGTTACACAGTATCTTATAAATAACTAACATGGTCAGGTTCACAGGATTATCACATCCAAAATGACATCAGCTATTCAGACAGGATGATAAACCTAAAACCGCTTTGGAAGAAAAGCGTATACAGCTCGAATATTTGTGATATATTTTGAATTAGCAAATACCAATAGAAATACATGTATCTTAACATGCAGGGGTCGACACTAACACTAGTCCGCTAGTCCTGGACTAGTTGATTTCAGCAAGAACTAGTTAATCACCTAACCTAACTGGTCCTTTAATTGGACTTGTGAAAAATATGATTATAAGATAAGAATATTCCTTTTTAAAATTTAGAAAAGTGCTTAAAATAAGATATATCGCATGATAATTGTCAAAATTTTCCTAAAAATTCACCGGCAGTAGTTATCTGAAGCTCCGGGGACTGTCCCCTACTTGAGATGTTTCGTGCTGTAGATCACGATGTTTCCTTATTAGGCAATCTTTGACTAGATACATTGACGTAAGGACTAGTAAATATTCTATTCAACTAGTCATGTAGACTACCAAGCCAAAACAGTTAGTGTCTAACCCTGACATGCTGTAAGGTTGCTAAAGTAGTCTTGTTATCTTGAGCATTTTTTGTTTCTGTTGTACAATATAGGTAACCACACAGTTCATTGCTCATACACACTGTATAATTGCCTGAACATTAGAATAGTCAACTGAGCCTCTTGACTTTGGTGATCCAACACGGTCTGAAAAATCTTGCTTGAATACTTTAACCTATAGGGTTTGCAAACGGTGAGCTCTTTCACCAAGTCTTGGCAGGCCCTTATAGACTTTTTAATACTACAATGATTGTAAACAATGTATATATACAATTTTGACATCATATTAGTCTACGTCAACATTTGCATCTAAACCTATTATGGAGTTTCGTCAAAAATGTTTTAAAGTTAAAAACAGATGCAATTCTGAAAATGTTTAGTTTTCATTTGACTTCACCAATGCTGAAGCCTTAGGGATGGAACATTCAAGAAAAATATCTGCATCTTATTATAAATCTTTCATATGATATGAACGAATTTTAACTCTTGCACCAAAACCTTAACCTGTAAATTCTTGCAAAAAGTTAGGTCAAAAAGGAATAAAATGTATTTAAACGACAAAGTATTTGTCTATTTTCACTTTAATTACTTCAACATCAAACATGGGTCGATCCTCTACACTGAATATCTGCATTACACTGAATATCAGCATTACACTGAATATCCGCATTACACTGAATATCATCATTACACTGAATATCATCATTACACTGAATTTACACTGAATATCAGCATTATACACTGAATATCAGCATTACACTGAATATCAGCATTACACTGAATATCCGCATTACACTGAATATCATCATTACACTGCATTTACACTGAATATCAGCATTACACTGAATATCAGCATCCTGCTTAAAAAATTTCAAGTGCATCTTGACCTAAACCTTGAACACCAACACAGGGGTGCATGAGTACATTCTTCAAATAAGCAAGCAAACAAAAACCAATTCATTATAAATATTGTTCAGTCATATCAAAACAAAATATGCTGTCACTAATTCATTTTCACTCTGAAATTTCTGATCAAAATGGAAAGCTTTATAGTAATAGTTTTTTGATAAACACTTATGTAAAACAAATTCTTACGGAAACCCTAAAGTATACATACAATATATTGGAAGTGATCCTGATCATGACCTTGGACACTAACAAGGAAATATTGACAAGGTCTATATATAACTACCTATACAGGTTGGTAAACAAGTTTGATCTCTACTTGACAAGCACTATCAGTATAGTTGTTAAAGAAACACCATTCAATGAAGTGCAAACTCAAACTTTCTACAACCTGGAATTCAACTTGATTCACAAGAAGCCACATCATGCACAGGTTCAATGGAAATGTTGATGTCGGAATTATGCTACATTCCCTGCAAAATAAGATCCCAGAGGATGTTGGCATCAATCATCTGAGATAACACGAATAAACTACAGAGAATGCATTGTGTGCTTATGCTATTTAATTTAATGACATCATTTTGTAAATGTATACCATTGTGGCTGATGTCTGACATCAAACTTACCATTAACTGTATACCTTTGTTGCTGATGTCTGACATCAAACTTACCTGTAACTGCATACCACCCCTGCTGATGTCTGACATCAAACTTCCCTGTAACTGCATACCATTGTTGCTGATGTCTGACATCAAACTTACCTGTAACTGTATACCATTGTTGCTAATGTCTGACATCAAACTGACCTGTAACTGTAGACCATTGTTGCTGATGTCTGACATCAAACTTACCTGACCATGGTGACCAACGTTGATTTCGAGGCGGCTAGTGTATGGCATCGTGGTAGAGAAGATGATAGAACAGTGTGATACCCTCGCGTATCAGTGATACCTCTACTTTACCAGTTATTTACTATGTATTTATACCCTTATCTCAAGTGCAGCATAATTTTAGGTCTGAATATGACAAGCTCCAGGAAGGAAACACACATTTAAGTGGAAAGTGGTTACGCAAAAGCGTGGTTTAGCAGGACACTGGGGCCTTGATTGAACAATGAACAATGAACAAGTGTGAGTCGGGGAATAAAAATGTTCACATAATGAAGTGTTTTCTTTAAAATCTGCTTATACTGCACAATATATAAAAAGGAAAAAATTTGAATCTCAATCAAATCTCAATCAAATATTAACTTTCACAGCAAAATATATTACCCTTTCACACAATGAGTTTTAAAACTTCATAACAAATAAGTATTGTCTAAAATTCACGATCCCTTGCTCAAACATTTTAACAAATAACACCAACCTTTGCCCTACTTACAATGTTTACTACCTATAATAAATTCAGCACAGCCGATCTTGAAGATTCGAAGCTTAAAATTTGAAAGGGCTGACCTATCAACTGGACTAATAATGTTGAAACATAATTTACGACTTTAAAGATTCAGATCAGAGTAATTTACCAGCAATGCCATATGTGTGCAAATAGAATGAAGTGCTAAATAAACAAATAAATCTGTATTGCAGTGGTTGGAGACACAGAACTTGTGCAAGACAAAACTCAAGTCCCTGTTACTTTGATTTACCAATGATGTCAACTCAAAATGCGCACCTTATATTGTTAGTTTGCAAACACATGACAGGATATCCTCAAGGAGATTTACAAATAGTATTTGCTCAGCTAATTTTTAAACAGCATCAGTAATGTCTTGAATACAAATGAATTTGGTTATATTATAGAATGTATATAAAAATGTGCTTACAAACAAAAATGAAAATCATAATGAGTAAGTTGTATACAATATTTAGTATAATTCCTAAACAGCAATTACATCAGTTAAGATAAAGGATTTTACCAAGAGGTGCCATACATGTAATCTGCAAAAGTGTTATGTGGTCATTTATGCTAATTATATACACTAGACCTAGCTACACTTGATATTGGGTAAAATACCTTGCAGCTTTAGAGGTATTATGATAACTCAACATGAATCACATCACAGTTGGTATCTTTTGTAAAGATCAATTGTTTATCAATAATTGTACATATTTTACATATCGCCCTACCTAATCTCAAGGTACTTCACATTAAGGGATGACATTATGTAATAATGTTATAATTATGAGCATTTGGGAGTGGTTCTACTCCAGCACTAAAGCCATGGGAACCCTTTTTGGGCCTCAATATCACAAGGTGTGAAGGTGCACATGCGCGTATTGGAAATTGTATCTGTGTACTGCTTGTTATTGGCCTGTATTTCTAACAGTTCAATTAAAGTGCCATGCTACCTGAATATTACAGTACAGAAATTATAATATTTCATCCAGATCATAATATACTGCATTTTAGGAAGTGGACTGAGCAACAAGGGTAAAGTGTTTTGCTGGTGATCACAACCACATCCTGCCATCGAATGCAGTCAAGAGGCCAGAGTACCACCAACACTATGATGTGGCCCCTTAAATTGTCGACCTTGATAAAAATCAGGATCATTACCATATTTCAAACTGTTATGGATAAATATAGCCATACAGATGAACAAGTCAATACTCAAAGTCAATCATGTTTAACCCTTTCACCACTGTAGACCGAAATGGACTCATCCAGACCAATGCATGGTAGAGTCTACTAAAGTTACATAGGGGTGAAAGGGTTAATGACAAAGGTTACATATAGGTACTGATGCAGTCACAGGACGGCTGACACACACACTGGTATGTAAATCTGTTCTGGGACCAGGCGGTGTACGTGCTCCGGTGAATGGTAGTGTACAGTGACGGTGACAATGACAATACTCTTTTGTCAGCTATGTACCGGTACTTGAAATATTGCACAACATGCACAAATGAGGATATTACTAATGAATGCTGCATTGTGCACAGGCTGACCAATATACATCCTGCTTGTATTTGACTGTACATATATTTCCAAATCTTGCCATGTACATACAAATTATGTCACTACACATAAACAACCACAACAATTCACTAAACTCTATATGACAATATCCCGAAAAGATTTTAAAATCAACTCATTTATCCCTGAAGATGCATTTGGACTCTTCCAAATCAAAGGTTTCAATCAAGTTCATTATGCAGGGGTGAATGAGTTAACAGCATTTTAAACGAGTTGAAAGCTATAAATCGCCACAAAACCAGACATGCAATTATAAAGTTACCTTTCAACAAACCATTTAAAGGCAATAATAAGATATCTGAACAAAAGACATCATTCAGGTTTTAAGGATCCCCGTCCCAGTACTGCACTGTGTTTTTTTCGTAGGTACAGTAATTATAACCTCCCCTTAACTTCCATTTGGATATAATTGTGGTATTAAGTTGAGCCACTAGACACTTCTGTTGACCAGGTTTCTCAGTCGGTTACAGAGGTACCGGGTTCAAATCCTAAACTATGACCACTAATTTTTATTCAAAACCTTTTTGATTATATTTTGTTTAGTTATTTTTTTTATTTTACATCAAATTTCCCCAAGGTATGGTTTGTTTTTCAGAAAGATTTATAAAAGCTATAGCTATACAGAAAAAACAGTTTCCAATGAGTAGCTACAGTGTTTGGCAGTGGTACAGGGATCCTTAAATTTGCTTAGAGAAAAAAAATGTGTTTCTGATTTTCCTATCTGTCTTTGTGTGTTGTGCCTAACCTATAATATGTTTGGAGTAACTTCAAGTAAGCATTGTTGTAGTTTAACATTGCCTCTGCATAACTTTTGTAAAAACAATATATGTATATTTTATTATTGTAAGTTTTGTAAAAAAATTATTAAAACACTAATCCTACCTACCTGTATCTCTTTAGAGAGGTAAGCAGAATACCCAACACTGATTTGCTTCGGCCTTACCTGCCATACAAGCTGAACGTTATGTCATTATACAGCGTACATCAACCATTGACTCCTGATTAGACTGTCTGTACCCTTACACTGCTAATACAGTCTACCTTGTAAATACCTGGTATTCATGAACGGCTCGCATTTTATAATCTATTCAGGCAAAGGCATTGATAAGTTATAATCACTTTCACCTGATGCATGAATAAGTTCTCAGTAGTAGAAATTGTTTAAACTGCCCCCCCCCCCCCCTCCCCCACTAAACTAAACCTGTTTCTGTCACAAAAGGAAGGTCATATGTCTGGGTATACGTAGCATGAGAGAAGCCATGTCAAGTAACTATTTCTGAGAGGTGATAAAGGGAAGCATTCGAGATCAACCCCTGGAAGTGTGTTGTAGGAAATGAGATATTTAAAACTGTAAAAACAAACACCTATATGCACACACATAGCTATAGTGTGCTCCTGAAAGTGCACTTCACAATTCAATGACATCTATTTACATAGGGTTTCAGAACATTCTTAAAAAAGGCCGACTTATTATAAAAGCAAAATCCCTTCTTAAATATATGCCAGCAACATACCAATTTTTTAACATTCCTAAAAGCTTGTTATAAATGGTCAAGTATATCAACATTTGATATCTCAGAATAATATTTACCAAATATAAACAAAATATTAAGGTTTTGATTAGAAGGCAGTTGATGGAAAACTTAGCTGACTTTCAAACTTTTGCAAACAATGAAAAAAAGTATGAGTGTTAAGATCATACTTATAACAATTCAATAATACTAAGGCAAAATATTGCAAGCCTCTGGACTAACTTTGATATAAACTAGAAAATGTCTGTAGGACATAAATGCCCCCCACTCATGGATTGGACTGGACGGGACTGGACGGGACGGACATGGGCAACACTATATGCCCCCCCATAAAAAAAGTAAATAACTTTTATAAAATGCATTTCAGTACCCAGACATACAGCAAGCTTTTACCAAACGTTCAATAGTCAAATAAAAACCAGTAATACCACAGTATGAATTGAAATAAGTATGAATTGAAATAGTCTGTTTCTTTAAAAAACAACGGGAACAAAAATCATGTATACAAACATGTCACATCGTTTCTTCAAAAAACGTAAAATAAAAACATGTATACCAAACATGTCGCATTATACTTATCTGAATACATATAGGCATTATGCCGAATGAAAACAATTATGTGACTATTAAAGGATCAAGGGGGACAAATAGCTGAAGTAATGCTATTTAGTCGCTTTACACTTCGCAAAAGGAAACGTGAGGCCAAGCAAAAAAGTCCCTAGCGCGCGCTGCCGCATAAAAAATTAGTTCTAAATAAAATCGGAACCCACATCATAAATGTAATTAAATTAACTTTGTATTAAATTGTTGTTTTTGGTTTAAAGGAGCACAACAACCAATAAATGAGGAAAAATGAAATTTCTTCTTTTTTAGAAACATGAACCCTGAAATGTAATTTGCAGTGATATATGGCTTCTCCTCTCATCTCAGTTTATGCTGAAGTATATGAATTATCAGGTAAAACAGACGAAAATATACCATAGCATCAACACAAGCAAGGGCAAATAATTTGTTTGTTTGAGGTTAAATTTCCTAACAACAGCTAAGGTAATATGAAGGCCGGGTGGCTACAGAAACAGCTTAAATCGGAAAAGAGCAGGGAAGGGAGAAAAGAAAATTTAAACAAGGTCGAAACTGAAATTAAACATAAACAGTAAGAAGAACTGAGGGGACGCCAATAAAAAGGAAAGACCTTATCCCCCCCCCCGATACTGACAAGACAAAACCAGGTGCTCTAGAAAAATACATTTTAACCTTAAAACATGGGAAGAACTTTGCACAGAGTTGAAAAGGTAGAAAAGGATGTAAACAGAACTACTCGTTCTACAGGCACATATACAGGCCTATCAAATATTGTATCATAAATAACTGCACTTACCATGTCTATCTAAGAGTTGTTTTTTCAGACGGAACCCAAAGTAAAGCGGCGCTCCAAGTCAGTGCAGGTAAAACAAGATGTTCCTCAACCA